AGATGCTATCCTATCAATATGGGCCAACATTTCTAAAGAATGCTTTCAGCACCTTGTTGAATCAATGCCACATAGAATTAAGGCAGTTCTGAAGGCGAAAGGGGGTCAAACACCGTATTAGTATGGTGTTCCTAATAATCCTTTAGGTGACTGTATATATATGTGTGTGTATAAAATTTCTTAAACCGCTAAACATTATATTAAACCATTCAGCTCATTACCCAACATGCTTCAACATTTCAACAAACTGATTGGCTCAATTGTATTCTCCTAAAATCTGGATGAGCCACAATCTATATCTTACCTTGACATACAGTGAAGTGAGCCTGCTTTTGTGCTCAACAGTTTACGGGCACAAGCAGGTACGTGATAAAATGCATGCCTTTTTATGGTATTGAGGCATAATGACCATATTAAAACATTAAGAACACCAGTTGTGAGCTAAATGAATATGAAAATGATTTAACACTCTAGTCTACGTTAATCTGATTTTGCAGATGCAAATATTTTAGAAATGATGCATCCCAAGTTCATCCCAAATTGTATCCAGTGCACGCTATTTTTAATCGGGGCAGTTGCATTGTGAACTTTTATGTCTGTGCACTGATGCAAATCACTAATTCTTTCCAACCCTATTGCTCATATTTAAATACGCTAAGTAGTTCCATAGCATAGTGGACGTATTGAATCTGTGCTTTGAGAGGTACAGTCACACATTTCACATGTCTGCAAAGAAGCTACGTAGATGGAAGATGGAGACAACTATTGCTGACAGCCTCTAGCTTATAAGCAAGGTGACATGAAGTGAGCGATGCTGTTACTTTGGTTTTAAACCGAACAAAAGTGTGAATGCCCAGATCTGACAGCCCCAGTATGCAAACGCTGCTATAAGGGGGCAACATGCTTAACCTGGTGGGGCATCAGTCTTACCCTAATTTATATAAGGGGGAGTTTAAAGATCATCACATTTATGCAGACATAAGACATATGATACTGATGTAATTTAGCTGTTAACTTAAACGCAGAATGTAATAGTCATGTTTTGCCGACATGCAAGTTCATTCATTTCCCTTTATCCAGTGAAGAAAAGCAGTTTAAGCTAAATCACAGACAAAACATCTATAAAGCTAACGTTAAGAACAAATTAATATCAGAGTTTCTGCACTGAATGGAGTTAAATCAATCTGTATGATTCACTGATAATGTTAAAACTGTGTTATAGGGAATTGCTGTTGGTTAATTCATAAATAGAGGGAACGTTTTACAGTATCGATTTTAGTATTAAATGTGTATTGCTATCGAGGTACCAAAGCTGGTAGTAGTACTGAAGTTAGAATTGTATCGATAGAAAAAAAAATTAAGTGACGTATCTCCCTGATGCTATGGAAAAGTTCTGGAACGGTGTGCATGTATCTGCCCGCCTGTCCGTGCCCTGTGGTGGACTGGCAACTCTGTGCCTTAAATTTGATTATGCTGCAACAAATGTTTTTTTTTTTGAGAAGTTAAATAAATTTACAAATAAATTCTGCATTGTTGCTGTGAAAAGTGACAACTGGCTCTTCCATCTCTTCAAATTTATTGCTTGAGATCACTGATGGTAGACGTTAAGATGTGGGGAGTAGGCTGTGTTGGTCTACGTTCTGTCTGTCCTGCTTAGTGTGTGTAGTAAATGAGAGGTCTGGCCAGAGGGGCCGCCTCCTTGCTGTTGTGCACCTTGCCGTCCGGCCCCCGTTACCATTGCTAAGGTGGGTGTAGGAAGCACCATAGCCCGGTTCCTCTTTTCTGATGTCCTTTTGCAGAGGCACCTCAGCTTCCTCCCTCCCGCCCACGCACTGCTCGTAAGTGGTGCATGGCAAAGACAGAGTTACATGACCTCAGGCTGTACCAGTACTGCTAAATCGGGCCCTGATAGTTTGCATACGGCTCTGCAGCAGTCTGCCATTAGACAGCTTCCTGTTTGCGTGCTGGCTTACAGGCGCTGCTCCCACAGCTGGGCGACTTTTGCCTGCCCACCCGCTCGGCTCTGCGGCCGGTCTGCTGTGACATCGTTATCTTCCCCTACAGAATGGGGACAACATGTGAGGCGCAGGGCCGCCCCTGTGTCACAATGAAAACGGTGACATTGTGGTACTTTCATCCTAGACTCAAGTTACTGGTACTGGTCAGGCTCTAGTTTGGCGTGGCCGTTTGCGGCTGATGAGACTGAACAGCCTTGATGTGGCCGGCCTCTATCTGCAGAGGGTTCATAGAGGCCTTAGTCCTTCTTTGGTCCACTTCCTGACTGTGGCATTGGAAAATCTGCGTCAGCAGCTTCCTGTCTTTTTTTTTTTCTTCTTTTTTTTTCTCACAAATAAAAATAGTTACTTCCTGTTAAGTTTTCAGATATGACGTGACCCCTGCGTGGCTGCAATTTGCACTGCCCTCCTGCTGGGAGGCCGTAGCCCCGGAGAAAATCAGGAGGAGACCTCAGTAGTGGCAATTAGAGAGAGCATCACTCTCCAGTGTCCAGCCATAATGCTGCATTTCGTGTGGACCCTGATTACGTCTGAGTGCTGCAGCCGAAGCCTCACCAGCACGTTTCTTGGGCTTACTGCACGAATGGCGTCGCATGGATGGCTGAGGCTGCATCGAGCTGTGAGCTGACAATGCAAGACACTTCACTTTGAACCAATGACTCTGGGTCTCCATCAAAATGACAATAAAACATTGAATTGCTCTATACCAGTTGGTTTCTGCACCAATTGGTATAGAATTGAAATGAGCCTGCTGTTTCGGAGGGGAAATTTTGCACGAAACACTGTGCAGAATATTGTCCTGTAACAGCATGGTGTTTCACTGGTCACAGGGTATGTGATGGTAGCGTCAGAAAGTGAGCCAATCACTGGTCTTGTTTCCCCACAGGTGCTTTTTCTCCAGTGCCGCCCCCCACCTGCCTTGTCTGCTCCTGCTCCCTGGCTCTGATGGTACGAGCTTACCTGTGACACTCGAGAGTGGACATCTGCTACCCCCAGCCCCATCAGCATGTCTGGGGTCCAGGTGAGCACTGCCTCTCCCTTTGCATAAATGCACTGTATGCCCTGACTAGACTGAATTGCTGCTGGTCAATGTTGTGTGGGTGCTCTGATTTTGTTTTTTGTTTTTTTTTGTTTTTTTGTTTGGTGTCATGAAGCATCGTGTTCTCTGAGGGAACTGATATCCATCTCTACCTGACATTTTGGCATCTAAATGGCATGACATTTGCACGTCTGAATTTTCTGTTGTTATTCCATGAAGAAGCATACTGGAGCATTGAAAGTTCCAGAAGACTCTCCACCCTTTTGCAGATCTTTGTTTCCAGCAGTTAAAAGGGGCTGTTTTGTCCATGAATAAGGACAAGGTCTTTGAGGAAAATTAGTTTCAGCTTCCAAAAGTCAGTATGCAAGGTCCCTTTTATCCACCTTATGTATATGTATGTGTGCTGTGGGGAAGCGAGCAGCCTTCTTTTTGGGTGTAAGGGCTGTGTCTGCATGCTGCGAAACACCAAAGCAGATGTGTCGATGAGTGAAACCCTGCAGGGGCAGCGATGCAGCTCAGAGGCCGGCCCTGCCGCCCTTTTCCTGATGCTGCCCCATTCCCTATCCGAGCAGTGGCCATGTCTAGACAGAGCACCGCTGTTAGTTACAGCTGACTGGCACTGAATCTGCCTGGGTCGCTGCCGTTATCAGTTTACCCATCTGGTGCACGTGCTCGCCGAGCAGTGCCAAAGCTGCCATTGGCCGGCCTGGCCCGGTGGCCTGGCAAGACCCGGTGGAACAATACGCTCCTTAGAGCGCCCTTCATGCCGGGCTGTTATCACGGCCTCCACTTTGAATGCATTTGAATAGCATTTGTGTGAGCCTGCAGGTGCGAATGACCGTACACAGAGCTCCACCCCCTGCCTGCTCGCCTGCCTGAGCATTGGTTCAAGGGTGGTAGCTCGTGTGTTGACGAAGGACCTCCACCCAGAGGTCTGTGGTTTGGAGGTCAGCAGGTGTCCCGCTTATAGCCCAGTGAGAGATGTGCTGGGGTTAAGCCAGAAAGAAGCAACTAATCAAAAAACTGTAGACTTCCCCAGTGCCTCCTGCTGGTGTTTTCTTTGTCACCTTCGACCCCTCCTTGAACCGTCCATCTACGCCCCCCAGACAACATGGCCGGCCGGCACAGAGTGCGTCGCCAAGTACAACTTCCAGGGTGCCACAGACCAGGACCTGCCCTTCAGCAAGGGGGACGTCTTAACCATCATTGGAGTCACTAAGGTAACCAGCTGCTGTTGCCATGGAAACAGAAAGCCTTTTAATGGCTTGTTCGGCGAGCGTGAGCTTAAATAAAGAGGTCTGATTTGTCAGGCTGCGTCAGCCAATTACAGCACTCGCTCATGCTCGGCTGCTGTGATCTATAATTAAAGCGACTCACCGTAACACAGTGGGCCGGGCGATACGCCGGGTTGCAGTTGTGCACTTTGTTGCAACTTCTGCTTCATGGAGGTCGCAAGTACAGCGGGCCTCAGATGTGTTTTGGTGAACCGCTTTAGAGTATCGACCCATTGGGTCCAGAGGTTCCTATTATAAGACTTGATTTGTTCTTCAGGATCCTAACTGGTACAAAGCCAAGAACCCAGTGGGCAGGGAGGGAACGATTCCTGCCAACTACGTCCAGAAACGGGAAGGCGTCAAGTCGGGGGGCAAGCTGAGCCTAATGCCGTAAGTGTGGAGGGGTGCTGTGTGCGCGTGTGTGCGTGCGTAGCTCTGAACCGACTGAGCTTACTGGGCTGGTGTTGAATAACTCCCATGGTACAGTTATCCATGGTGTGAGTTGATTTATTGTGGATACCCAGGGCAGTGTCTCTCAACCTGATCCTCAGGGACCCCCCAGACGGTCAACACTTTTGCTTCCTTCCAGCTCCTGGAGCAAAAATGTGCAAAAACCATCTGTGGGGGGGGGTCCCCAAGGATTGGATTGAGAAACACTGCTCTAGCGTAGGCTGGTACCCTCAGGAGCCAGGAGTGCATCTCTGCTAGGACACAGTGCCCAGAGTGAGCACAGTTAAGGGCACAGCTGCACAGCCCCTGAAGTCAGCCTCTGGTTGTTGGAAAAAGGCATTTAAAATGAGCTTTCCCCACCTGTGTGCATGAGCGTGTGTGTGTGCGGGTTTACCTATCCTTATGGGGACATAATGTCAGTTTTTTTCCCTTATGGGGACCGGTTTCCTGGTCCCCATGAGGGAAAACTCTATTTTATAAAAATCGGTGACTACTATGGAAAAAACTAAAAATATAATTTTATATAGGCCTATATATATATAAAAAAAAAAATTAGGAAGGAATTCTATCACAGGTATGCTTTGCTGTGGTGCGTGTTTACAGAGATCGGATTAAGGCATTATCGCTGTCAGTAAATGTGGCCTTAGGCCTGTCATCCATTTAGTTTAACTGACTGCTGCGGCTGCTGACATTTTTGTCTGCTGGAGTCTGCCCCCTGGTGGTGGTGTCTGGCACATCAAGAGCAAATGTGTGAAAATGGGACCTGGCTGGGATAACCTAGCCTTTCATTTTGACTAAAACATTTTAATGGAATTGCCATTTCATTAGGGAGTTCCCAGTGTGGTAGGGGTTAAAGTTCCCTACGAATCATGCGGGTGGGATATTATTTTTGCTGCAGTTTTTTTTTTTTTTTTTTTTTTTTTTTTTTTTTTTGTGCTCACTATAATTTCTTCTGTACTAATTTTCATTTTTTTAAAAAGCCTGTAAAACACTTTGTAAACCCTGTCATTAAAACAGTGCTATATAAATAGATTAATTTCAATTTAAGCAAGGAAACGTTGGGGGAAAAAAGAAAAGCAGGATGTATTATGAATTTTGGATTATCCTTTTTATTCATCCTGAGTTGAGATTCTGGCAGCCCCGTTACTGTAATAGAGAACAGAAACACGTTGTAGGGATGAGCCAGCAGGCCAGGGGTCGGACTCTTTCTCTCTGCCCTTCGCCCCGTAGGCAGGCACCGGAAAGGGGCGGAGCTCTGATGGCTCTGCCCGGCACCGCCGAGTGCTCCAGCACGGCTGCAGGCCGGCAGGCATTTCTGCAGCCTTCCTGTTGGTGCGGCGGTTTTTGGGGCGCCGCTCGCTCTCTGCAGCACTTCCTGTTTTCGCATAGGTAACTCCCCTGCAGCACCACAGGAGGCCACAGCCACAAGGTGAAACTCGAGGGAGTAGGATGTCAGTTGACTCAAGCATGCCCCCTGCCTGCCAGGGGGAAGAAGACATGCAGACCATATCTCGGCTACTATTTTTTTATTTAATTTTTTTCTTTGGAGATACAAGCTCCTCGCTAGGTGTGTTGTGATATTGGAGGATTAATTCATGGTTCTCAGGAACCTCTGTAAACCTGGTGTGAACATGTACAGTGTTCAAGGCAGCATGCATTTCAACTGACTTGACGGTAATCCGATAGCGGTTGCAGCCTTAGGTAGCGTTCGGGTTTTCGCCGTACTCATGTTTGCATAAGTGCGTTTTCTGTCTGTCATCCTCCTACCTCACCCTTCTATCTCCCCTTCTAGATGGTTCCATGGGAAGATCACCCGTGATCAGGCTGAGTGTCTGCTCTACCCACCGGAGACTGGGCTTTTCCTGGTGCGTGAGAGCACCAATTACCCCGGGGACTACACGCTATGCGTTAGCTGTGAGGGCAAGGTGGAGCACTATCGAATCATCTACCATAATGGCAAGCTCTCCATCGACGAGGAGGAGTACTTCAGCAACCTCATGCAGCTCGTGGAGGTAAGCAGGCTGGGCATAAGATAACCACCCCCCCCCCCTCATAGTTTGGGGCCCATGCCTTCTTGCCTACATTAGTGGATGGAATTGAGGTATCACGAAGTGTGTGTGTGTCTGTCTGTCCAAATGTCCCCCCAGTGTGATAAAAACTTAATATTTTGATGTTGTGGGGACCATTTTTCAGTCCCCATTAGTGGAATCTTTTATAATAATCTGAGACTGCAATCAAAAAACTGGTTAGGGCTGGATAGGGGTTAAGGGTGTCATTTTTGGGATTAGGGTTTTGCCCATAAAAATGAATGAATGGTCCCCACAAAGATATGAATATAAATTTGTGTGTGTGTCTCTGAGTGAGCGGCTGAGCATCGCCATCACTGAGGCTTCATGCTGTGTGACTGCCAGCAAGTCCACACTCATAGGTTTTCATGTGAAGTGCCATACGTGTGTCTGTATTGGCGTGAAAGGGATGTAGGGAGGATGACCTTTGATTGGATTCTTAATTAAGGGGTAGTTAACCCTTACTGCACTTAATTCAATCTAGAAATGGTTTATTTCATATAGCAGTGTAGTTTGAAAAGCTTTATGGTTGGAGGAAGATGACAAATGTGGCTAAAGTGAAATAGTCAAACAGGAATACAGAACAGAAATGGGGAACTGTAGAATACAAATGTGATGAATGTAGATAAAATGATGGACTTGTTTCTTCAGAACATCGGCGGATTCTGTTCTTTAGCCCGTATTGGCCAAAAGGTGTCTTGCTCAATGTCTTTTTGTCATACATTGTAGAAGCATATTAATATCTGGGGATCTGAGCTCATAATGGTATTTATAACTGACAAGGAAATATTCAGGCGCAGGGTAGTTGAGGGGCTTGAGGACGATTTTTAAATCATTTCTAAATAAAAAGGGCAACCTGTGAAACTTTTAAAAAGTGGCTGTTGTGCTTTTACATTTGGTTAGTAGATATGTGGCATTTTACCATGTTAATTAAGGTTAACTTTTCCTCAAAAAGACTATTATAATGATAGAGCCTGCTAGTCAAAAAGGGCATAATCTGGTAATATTTTAAGATGGTAAAATGACATTTTGGTCACATTGCAAATGTGTCTCTTAACACTGATCTTTGTTCTAACCCAAAGATTTCGTCCTGGACAAAGATGTAATGCTAAAATCCCTCACGGAACCTTTTGAACCGAAGAGAAGCATTTTTGGTTATGACTGTTTAACATCTGCATATTTATCTCAGATATACAACATGTGATGGAGAACTTCGTCTGTCACAAATGTAGATGTGTTTGTCATTAGCATACCTAAGGAACTATATTCCATGCCACCAGATGTGTCCTCGGAGGAGCATGTATCAGTTAACAGGAGGAGCATGTAACAGGACCTTTGTAGAGCTTTCAGGCACCACAGGTGATGTTTGGTTCCACTGAGGAATAACCACCAATCTGAACATGCATTACTATCTCAAAATTTTAAGAAGTCAAAGAAAATGTTTAAACA